GCTCTCCGTTTACACCCCCTCCCCCCAAAAAAAAACTGTCATTTTGTATTTTGTCTGATCAGACATGACAAATGGTCACAAATTAGACACAAAAAATTCAAGTAACTAGGTGCTGCTTTTAAGCCATTTCTGACCTATCACTGTGATTTTTTTTGTACTATTAAACTCTGTGTTCATCTTAGGCCTTAGGCCTCTGGGGATTTTGTTTGCTCTTACATACAACTCATTATGCATATTTTGTACCTTGCACGTCCTAGCCTGTTTAGTTTACTTTGGGTCAAGTTCAAGTTTTGCCGTTAATTTGGTAAGATTTCCGCACCGCCCCATAATTTATAATTCAAGCAGTTATTGGATAAAGAAAACAATGGCAAAATACAATAGATTGTCTATGGACTCCGGCTTTTTTCTTCCCATAGTACATGGTAGTGCGGAAATCTTGTCGCTTATTTTTGCATTCACAAATTATCGATGAGGTTCGTAAATTTCGCCTCACATATTCTGTATTCTCCGTCTTAATCATTTTTATTTTAATATTATCCACATGAATTTGCTTAACTTTGTGTTAAAAAAGAAATCCTTTAGGAAAGGACCATTTATTTGTTTCTGACCAGGAACGAGTGTCTTAGGGGGATTTACTGAGAATAAGGGGTCGACTAACTATTTCAGTTGCGGCGACATGGCAAATTGTTTATGGGTGGAAAAAGAGAAATTTTTCGTGCTGACAAACCAAAATTTTGAAGGGAAGTTGACACCACACCGTTACGAGGTTTGTCATATCTACATTATAGGCATAATCCTCACCTTATTATCTTGCGATATGATTTATCAGACTCGTAAATCCTTTGATAGCTTAGAACGGTTAATTACATTTCTTCTCCAGCATAGGTGGGTTCAGTTAGTGTTGGAGTTATGTATCTATTTGGACCAATCACAAGCGGGCTCAGTGAGAGACTGGGTTGCAGAGTAGTGGCACTGCTTGGAGGTTTGCTGTGCTTCTTGGGAATGCTTTTGACGACATTCGTTTCCGACCTGAGAAAGCTCTATGTGACATACGGCGTCTTGTGGGGTATAGGGACGAGCTTTTGTTACTTCCCCACACTTACCGCCCCTGGGGAGTATTTTTGTCAGCGATTGTCATTGGTGAACGGCATAGTTACCGCTGGTAAGTTGAGAAAAATTACTTTTTTTTAAGAAACAACACGCACCTACCCCTCTCCTAGTGCACAGTCGTTCCGATACTGGCATTGATCCGAAACTAACCACCTGTGGGGTACGAGAAGGTATTCCCTTCTTGGATTACCAACAGGAGTGGAATATGTGGTTGTCTGTCGGCTGGTGCACTCGCTCAGTCTACGAAAGCGGGAGCATGAGCCCTAGCTGGTGCAGTTGTGGGCAAAACGCTCGCAACACATTACCACTCTATGTCCAAGAGTATAGTTGGTGCCAGCAGTTTTGGGGGAACCCTTATTCCAGATTTTCACTTGCGACGCAAGCACAAGTAAATGCACAAACGCAAGGTCAAGATAAACATGCCAAGTGAAACTGAACAGTGACAAGCACAAGCACTAGCTCAAAAAAGGAAAAGTTTTGATCTTTGTGCTTGTGCTTGCGCAATTTGTGTTTTGCTTGCATCGAGGCCTTTTTTGATGGTGAAATAAGAAATGTTGAATTTGTATGTGTGCTTACTTTGCTGATGGAACCCAGGCGGCTTTACGAACTGCTGTAGTTTAACTGAAATGAAATGGCAGCATGTTACACAGGAGAAGTAATGCGTAATACTACGAGTCACATCATGCTAGAGAAACTGGGAAACAATAGACCTCTTCCGTAAGTGACAGGTCCAGCTACTGTCCTTTTATATGCAGGCAAACCGGCCTTCCTGGCTTCGACGATATGTTTCAGAACAATAGAATTTTCTCCCAAAAGCGGGCATAAAATGATAACTGACATTCATGCGCGCCATTGTTAAAGAGGNTAGCGAGGTCCGTACTGTCAAGACCTCGGGCCTATATTCTCCAAGTACGGCCCTCGCTCTTGGTTAATTAGATATATATACAGCAGCCGTGGCTATATTCATGCAAGGTTATTTTATTCCATATGTCCATTTGGTAAGTAAGCAAAGAAAGGGGAGACTTGAAATGAGAATTGGTGCATAGCAATCAAACAGGTGCTGGATTAAAAAGATCTCGGGTATTCTTGGGTTGTTTTGAAATTATTTTTGCCAACAGCTCAGTAAATCAGACCGTCAGTTTCGCTCTAACGAAGCGCTAACGCCCAAAACATTAGCTTCAGAAACTTTACAGTGGTTAATTAACAACTATCCACCGAAGTGGAGATGGCTAGTGGTGGGTATGTACCAAGGCACGAGGCGGCGAAGTAGATATCCGCTACGAGCCACCGACACTTAGGTGAATTTTTGGTTTAGTATATATTAAAGCAATGAGATAATATAGCATAAAAAGGTGAACTAACTCCCTTACACCTGCAACAGTTTCAATATTGGGCTCAATTCCCGCTTGAGTTGCTCGGAGGCGAATAGCAAACGATATTCGAAGTTTGAGTAGCCAATCAGAGCGCGCCTTGAGGGTTATCCACTGTTTTAGTATATACTGAGTTGGTGTATGACATGATGGACATTTTAAGACTTGTCGTCAACGTACTTATCAGTGATACCAACATTGGTCTGTTCTACATTCCAAACAGGTTAGCCATTTGGAGGGTCTGGGTATTTCACCTTCCAGAGCAACAATTGGATCAGTTTAGCTCGATGGTGAAGGAGGCAGCTCAGTCGATACTTGGTCCAAAAAAAGAGAGTGCACCAGGACTGGTTCGATGAGAACGATCAAGCCATCACCCAGCTCTTAGACGAGAAGCAGGAGGCATTTGTGGCCTGGCAGAATGATCTTTCCTCCATCTCTAAGCGTGATAACTTCAAACAGCTTCAGCACCGAGCCCAGACCACCCTACGCCACATGGAGGATGAATGGTGGAAGAACAAAGCCCAAGAAGTACAACTATGGGCTGATATGAAAAACTCGAAGATGTTCTTCAGCACCATCAAGGCAGTGTACGGACCGTCCCGGCCTAACACAACCCCTCTCCTGTCAACAAATGGCACTCTACTGAAGGAGAAGAACGCCATCAACGAAAGATGGAGGGAACACTTCAGCATCCTTCTCAACAGATCCTCTACTGTTAGCAATGAAGCACTGGACCAGATCCCTCAGAGACCCACAGTAGACAGCCTCGACTTCCCTCCCAGCATGGAGGAGGTCCAGAAGGCCATCAAGCAGACCAGCTCAGGAAAAGCCCCCGGCAAGGATGGGATCCCTGCAGAAATCTACAAGGTTGCAGGACCAGTAACCCTTAACGCCTTCCACAACCTTGCACAGACCAGTAACAGCCTTCCACAGACCAGTAAGCCTTAACGCATTCTCTGCAGCATATGGGAGGAAGAGGACACTCCCCAGGAGTTCACAGACTCCACAATCATCTCCCTGTACAAAAACAAGGGCAGCAAATCTGACTGTGGCAACTACCGGGGCATATCACTCCTGTCTACTGCTGGTAAGATCCTCGTGCGCATCATCTTGAATCGCCTGATCTTCAATATCTCTGAGTACAACCTACCAGAAGCCCAGTGTGGATTCCGTCCAGGCCGCAGCACAACTGACATGATCTTTGCGGTCCGGAAAGTACAGGAGAAGTGCAGGGAACAGAATATGGATCTGTATGCAGTATTTGTCGACCTGACCAAGGCGTTTGACACTGTCAACAGAGCTGCACTGTGGACAGTTCTTCAAAAACTTGTTTTCCCCAGGAAGTTTGTGACCCTGATCTGTCTATTTCATGACAGCATGACGGGTCTAGTGCTTTCTGGAGGTGAGGCGTCTGAACCCTTTGAGATTACCAACGGTGTGAGACAGGGATGTGTCCTTGCCCCAGTACTGTTTAACCTCTTCTTCACCTGTGTTCTCAGCCAGGCTGTCAAAGACATCGAGGACGGAGTATACATAAGGTACAGACTAGACGGATGTCTCTTTGACCTTCGACGCCTCAATGCTAAAACCAAGACAATTGAGAAACTGATCCTAGAGGCCCTCTTTGCCTACGACTGTGCCCTCATGGCTCATACAGAATCCACCCTCCAGCTCACTGTCGACAAGTTTGCTGAAGCATCCCGCCTGTTTGGCCTCACCATTAGCCTGGGAAAAACAGAAGTGCTGTTCCAGCCCAGTCCTCTCACAACAGATCACCGCCCATCTATCTCTATCGAGGGAACGGGACTGAGGACTGTGGAGGAATTTAAATACCTCGGCAAGTGTCATTTCCAGCGACGGCTCCCTTGGCAAAGAGATTAACGCCAGGATTCGTAAGGCAAGCCAAGCCCTGGGCAGACTGCGAGCTCGTGTGCTGAACCAACACAACATCCAGCAGTCTACCAAGCTCAGGGTCTACAAGACAGTTGTCCTCACCAGTCTCCTTTATGGTTGTGAGACCTGGACCCTATACAGAAGACACATCAAACTGCTGGAGCACTTCCACATGCGGAGCTTGCGCTCAATCCTGAGCATCAAATGGCAGGACATGACCACAAACCTTGAGGT